GGACATGTGTCCCCCTAAAGGCCCCCGATGCATTGCCCGTGTTCCCCGCACCTCCCCAACACATCATCTATGCCACCTTCCCCTGCCCCATGAACTTACTTGTGGGGAGCTGTGGGAGCTGTTCTACATGCTGCCAGGCTGCCACATGCATGTGGCATTCCCTGCCTGATCACCCCCATCCCGCTCCCCCCAGGCCCAAGCAGCACTTAGAGACTGAACTTTGCCAGCCTGCAAGGTAAAATCTTAAGTTTCCCTCTGTGATTTTCTCTTTTAAAGGAGAAAAAGAGTGTGTGTTTTTCTGTGGCAAACAAAAAACCTGGATCCCTGTTTATTAACAGGCAGAGAATTAACATACACTGAAGTACAAGCAGCAACTATTTTATCTAAAATACGCAAAATATGGTCCATTTTTAAAAGTTTGTTCATAACCCTTTCATATATTCTTGTAACCCAGTTTTTAGGTTGCAACCCCCAGGCTGAGAAACACTGTTTCAAGGATGCAGATTCCACAGCCTCTGTGGGTAGACTGTCCCAGTGCTTTACTACCCTCCTTGAGAGAAAGTGTTTCCTAATACCCAGCCTAAACTTCCCTTGCTGCAACTTGAAACTATTGCTCCTTGTTCTGTCATCTACCACCACTGAGAACAGTTTAGCTCCATCATCTTTGAAATCACCTTTCACATAGTTGAAGGCTATTATTAAATCTCCGGTCAGTCTTCTCTTCCCCAAACTAAATAAGGCCAGTTTCCTAAGCCTCTCTGCATAAGTCATGTGCCGCATGCCTCTAACCATTTTTGTTGCCCTCCTAAGGGCCTTCTCAAATTTGTCCACATCCTTTCTGTAGTGGAGGGCTCAAAACTGTACTGCAGATAATCACTTCCATCAATCTACTTGCAACACCCTTACTAAGGCAGCAAAGTATGTTGTTAGCCTTCTTAAGGAGGACACATTTTTGGTTCATATTCAGCTTATTGTCCACTGTCACCCCCAGGTCCTTTTCTGCAGAGCTGCTGCTTAGCCAGTCAGTCCCCAGTGTGTACCGGTGCATGAGATTGTTCTGTCCTAAGTGCAGGACTTTGCACTTGATTTTATTGAACTTTATGAGACTTCTTGGTCTCAAAGTTCTTGGTCTCATTCTTTGGTCCAATCCTTCAATGTGTCTAGGTCTCTCTTGATCCTAGCCCTACCCTCTAGCATATCTACTACCCCTCAGCTTGATGTCATCCACAAACTTGCTTAAGGTGCACTCCATCCCATCTTCCATATAGTTGATGAAGATACTGAACAAAACTGGCACCAGGACCAACCCCTGGGGCAGTCTACTTGATACAGAGTGCCAACTAGATAACAAGCCATTGATTACTGCCCTTTGAGTCCAATGATTCAGCCAGTTTTCTGTCCACTTTACAGGCCATTCATCCAACCCGTTTCTTAACCTGACTGCAAGAATGATGTGGGAAATGATCAAAAGCCATGTTAAAGTCAAGGTATATCATATCCACTGCTCTTCCCACATCCACAGAGCCAGTCTTCATCATAGAAGGCAAGCAGCTGGGTGAGGCATGATTTGCCCTTGGTGAATCCATGCTAACTGTTCCTAATCACTTTCTTTTCCAAGTGCTTAGAAATGGATTCCTTGAGGACCTACTCCATGATTTTTCTAGGGACTAAGGTGAGGCTGACCAGTCTGTAGTTTCCCAGATTCTCCTCCTTCCCTTTCTTAAAGATGGGTACTATATTTGTCCTTTTCCAATTGCCTGGGACCTGCCACGAGCTTTCAAAGATAATAGCCAGCAGCTCTGCAGTCACATTGGTCAACTCCCTCAACATCCTCGGGTGCATTGCATCTGACCCCATTGGTTTGTACATATCCAGCTTTTCTAATGTAGGAGTAATTTAGTCGGACTTCTGACCTATTTGACTAGAAAAACAGACAGAGACCGGAAGTGCTGATACTGCTTATTTCAATTAAATGTTCTGAAATAAATTCTGCATGCCTTGTTTTTGTCTATGATATATTACCCTGTGTACCGATGTTAAGTTTATTTTTCTCCCTGAGAAACCAGAAACTGATAACTATTTCTATAAGCACAATGTTTCATTTGTTTAAGTAAACAGCCTGTATGTCTGTGCGTGTGTTAACGATCAGCGATTTACTGTCCAAGGTCGATTTACTGTCCAAGGTCATATTTTTTTCCCCCTTTTTCTCTGTCTTAAGTATAAATATGCTTGTAAACTTAGAGAGTGCGAGAAATCCTTTGAAACAGACAAGTGGGTGATTCCCCTTGCTGTGTGGAATTTTCCCTGTGATCACAGTATAGCTCTAAATAAAGAAAAGCTGGCTCTGTCAGTTCTGATTCAACCACAATGCGAAGTTTGATTTCTTCCACACTAAGTAGTCCCTAACTTGTTCTTTCACTACTGGTGGCTGCTTACTTCCTTCCCAAACTGTGCTGCCAGATTCAACAGACTGAGAGATGGCCTTGCCTGCGAAGACTGGGGTAAAAAAGGCATTGAGTACTTCAATCTTTTCTGCATTATCTGTCACTATGTTGCCTCCCCCATTCAGTAAGGGACCCACACTGTCCCTGATCTTTCTCTTGTTGCTGACATATGTCACGCATGACCAATCTAATTTTCTTCTATGATAAAGTGACAGGCTCTGCAGATGATGGGGGAGCAGTGGACATGGGATACCTTGACTTTGGATTGTTTTTTTAACAGTCTTTCATGGCATTTTCATTAATAAGCTAAGAAAATACAGACTAGATAAAAAATACTGTAATGTAGAGGCATAACTGGTTCAATCATTGTACTCAGTGAGTTGCCCTGAATGGCTCGTGTCTAGTTGGGAGAAGGTATCAAGTGGAGTTTCCAAGGGGGGGGTCTGTCCTGAGTCCAGTATTATTTAATATCTTCATTAATTATTTGGATGATAGGATTGAGTGAACATTTAGCAACTTTGCAGATGACAGCAAGTTGGGTGGAATTGCAGACATTCCAAGGGTGGAGCTAGGATCTAGAATGACATGGGTGGACTGAAGAAATGCTCTACAATCAATTGGATGCAATTCAATAAAGACAAGTGAATAGTCCTGCACTTGGAACAGAATAACTGTATGCACAAATACAGATTAGGAATGACTGGCAAGGCTGACTGGTACTGCAGAGAGGACCTGGGGGTTACAGTGGACTGTAAGCTGAATGAGTCAACATATTGTTGCAAAAAACCCAACAGGATTCTGGGTTGTATTAACAGAAGAGTCACTTGCAAATCAAAGGAAGGGATTCTTCCACTCTATTCAGCACTAGTGAGGCCTCACGTGGAGTACTATGTTCATTTTTGAGTGCCACACTTCAAGAAGGATGTGGATAATTCAGAAAGCATCCAGCACAGAGCACAAAATGGCCAGGGGCCTGGGAGTCAGGACTTACAAGACTGAAAGAGTTAGGGTTATTTAGTTTGGGGAAAAGAAGACTAAGGGAGGATTTATTAACATTCAGATATTTGAAGACTGTTATCAATAGGATAGAGATGTGCTTTTTTCTGTGGCTGCAGGGGACAGGACTAGCAACTATTCTAGCTCAAGCTAGAGCTGGGCAAGTTCAGGTTGGGGATAAGGAGGAATATCTGGATTATGAGGATGATTAAACATTGGAACAAGATACTTAAAGGAGCTGTGGCATCTCCATCCTTGGAAACTTTCAAAAGCAGGTTAGACAGATTAGACACATAGCTGGGATGGTTTAGGTAAGGATGATTCTGCTTTGAGCAGGGGGCTGGACTAGGTGACCTTATGAGGTCGCTTCTAGTCCTACTTTTTTATGACCCTATAAATGGAAGGGAATGTCAAGGCCATTATAAAGACAAGAGGGTGGTTAACAGCTGTGGAATGAAGGGAGATCATCAGGAATCAGGTAGATTATAATGAGTCATGAAGCCAATTGACACCCTCAGCACTGCTTGAATAGCAATCTTGCTGCCACTGTTATGCAGTTGGTTTTGGGTGGAACACACATCAAAGGCATTGCCACACCCCACCTTAATCCTGCCCTGGGTGCCTCTCAGGAACACCAGGCCTGGGGATATATAAAAATATAGAACTTAATATGCTAACATTGCATTCTTTTGTAATTTTTACAAAGTTAGAAGGGGATAATTTGCAGTCCCTTGGAAGCTCCTTCTCTTCAGACTAACTAGAGGGGATTTTTGTCTTCCAGTGTGCACCTTATACCACATAATGAAGGATCTATCAGGTCTTAAGGGAAGAGGGTAGACAGAAACAATAGCAAAAAAATGCTGCTGTAGAAGAGATACTAACCAATGTAAGTATGGTCCTATTGTATGTATACCAAGGTGAGGCATAGCCTAGTACTTGGAGTTTAACCATTTACTCTCTATTCCCTAAGGGATTATTAAAGAAATTAACGTCAGAATTTTCAAAGTTTATGGCATTCACAAACAAATCTGGTTTCATGGGAACAGTGATAAAAATGTATATATTAAAAATAATATTATTTAGATGGTAAATTATAATGGATCTATACTGCATTATAATGGATTATTAGGTTGATCCTGGATAGGCCTCATCAGCCATCTTTGGGTGCACAGATAAGACAATCATGGATGACAATCATCCTTGATTTCAAGGGATTACTTGAGAAGAATGGATCCAACAGTATGAGCTTCAAATAATTATTCTGGCATGTAATAAACCTTTCTATGTACATAGAAAGATGTTATCAAGCATATACAGAAGCCAGATTTCAGACTCAATTTATTCTTTAAATTGATTATTATGCAGTAATCTCTCTCAACCTTTATGCTTCATACCAGCTACATGCATTAAAGTAGTTCAGCAAAACATTTGCAAAACAGACTTTAAAAAACTACATGAAGGGTATCCTGTACCTGGAACCTATGATTCATTTGCCTTTCGATCTAGTCCAAAACTCTATTATTTTCTGGTATAAGAAAAGGATTTTTGTTTCTACTTAATTTTTTCCGGTTTTCACAGAAGCATAAAAAACCCCAAACCATACTGTTTGGGTTTTTTTCAATAAAATTCCACTAGATGCTGACAAAAAGTGAAATTTTCTTGTGAACTTTGGTTTTCAGAAAAAAAAGTTCTAAATAAATCTCTTCTACTATCTCTGTGCGATACCAATTGATCTGGTCAGAGAATAAAGACTCAGGTGACAGAAAAGCACTCTGTGCAGGAGTTGCAATTTATTGAAAATAATCCCAAAACATTTCTGTGTTGCCAGGCAATTATTCAGGTCTAATGCTTTAGGACCAATAATTTCTAATTTAACAAAGAATGGGCTGAAGATAATAAATCAGACTTATCTATGTGACAAGAGTGACTTCCAAGCCCAATGCTAGTACTAGCCCGCCCCTGTCTCTGGGCAAACTGCCCACCTTGCTCATGTGCCATGCCTTATTGTTATTGAATTAAGAAGTTAAGTAGGTGGGAGGCTGCCCTTCGAATACCCCAGTTGTAATGGGGTAGTGTTTACATACTCCAAACCACCCCTTACGTGTCCCATGCCTTGCAGATGGTTCTCCAGTGGTTTGCACTGGGTCTTTCTTTACACAAGCACACAGACAAACAAACACATACTGGGCTCCCAGCCCTCAGTTCCCCTCACTTGGGCTCCACACTGCCCCCTCATTGGGGCTCCTCTGGGGTCTTCTACCCCATGGGGCTCAGGTGGCTGCAGCTGTGCCTGGCCCCCTCTCAGGGCTTCTGCAACCTGGTCTCACAGGGAGCCTGGGTGCTGTTCCAGCTTGGGGCCCTGCCTCAGGACTCCCGCGGGCCTGGGCTCCCCCGTGTTGATCAAACACACCAGGGATGTGGAAGCTGGGGTACTGAGGTGCCCCAGGCCACCTTTCCCCCGCAGGGTGCAGTTTCAGGTCATGCCCAGGACTAATGAGGCCTCCTTCTTCCCCACAGCCTCATCCTTACCTCTGAGTGATCCTGGAGCCAGAGCTCACAAGAAGATGTTTCTTCCCTGGTAACTGGTCTCATACTGCTCCTAAAATGGCTGCCCTCATCAGGCACCTGTCAGCTGACTGGTCTTGCCCTTAAAGTGATGGAGCACTAAGGATGCTCTGCCACAATATACAACATATCTCAAAATTTATCCCAGGCTAGCATTCTTTGCACCTTTTATTCACGGACCGAACAAGCTGTCCACATGTGACTTATTTCGCATGTAACTTAATATTTCTTTTGTTCCATAACCTACAAGGCCAGTAGCCTCTTGAGACCTGTACTTACCTCTACCCTACCAACTGGTCAACTTCTTATGTCATTTGCACTAGACAGACTCTTCAAGTTGTGCTGAAGTTTGTTTGTTCTAGGTTGGAGGGAGAGGACAAAACTTTTGCCAGGAGTGCCACAAATTATTCCTGCACCCTTCCCAAGTGCTACTCTGATCCCTTTCCCTTATCTGAACTGCTGCTCCATGCCCTGTGCTCTTTGACTTAACAGCTGCTCTGCTTTCTGCTTCTTGCCCTATGCTCTCTGCCTGATCTAATGCCCTGCTTTTTGCTTCCTGTCCTATCCAGCACCATGCTACATGTCCCCTTTCCAGTCTGCCATATGCTACACAAACAAGATGCCTGTGTCACTTGTGGCACCCAGGTCACAGGTTGGCCACCCCTGTTGTAAGTTTTCCCTCCCTTTGATTACCCCAAATCTTGGTGGTGAACAGCCCTTCCCAACCTCTTAAAAAAATCTAGTTAGATTCATCATATATTTGAAAAGTCATGTATATGCTCCCATTACTATACGCTATTGCAGTGTTTCACAATCTAATGCATTTATTCTCCCAAAGGTCTGAGTAGAGGAGTGCTGTTGTCCAATTTTTACAGAACCAGAACTTAGCCACAGAGGGCATGTCCAGACAAGAACACATGTGCCTCTTGTGGCATCTCAAACCAGTTTGAGATGCTGCAAGAGGCACACTGAGAACAAAAAAATATTTGCAGTGTGGGCTCTAACTTTGATAACTGGATTTCCAGGTATCAAAAAAAAAAGCGGGGGGAGGGAGGGAGTGGTGCAGGGCATGGTTTTGCCCCATGGCCTGAGACAAACCAGGGCTGGGACCTATGGTGCTCCTGTGTATTTGTATCTTCTGTTGGGCATAAGCCTTAAGGCCCACCCAGTTAACTAATAGTCCCCACTGTGTGGGGCCAAAGAGTGAAAGATACAACTAATATTTTTTTTTCTTTTGGGGAAACTAAGGAAAAAATAGGATAGGAGTCAGGTGGGTATCAAAATGTGAAAATAAGGCAGGGATGGGCAATTATTTCGGGCGGAGGGCTGCTTACTGAGTTTTGGCAAACCATTAAGGGTCACATGACAGGCAGCCAGGAGCAGATAAATATTAATTTTCTAAAGGATAAAATGGCCTGGTGGGCCGCATCTGGCCCATGGGCCGCATTTTGCCCACCTCTGAAATAAGGGCTCTGGAGGGGGACACTGAGCAGAGCCCTCCAGGATGCACCCAGTGGTCCTCAAAGGCATCCAAGGAGCTGGTGGATGCTGCCCAGTGGTGCTCTGCCCAGAAACATGCATGGACAAGTGATAGAAAAGCAGTCCCATGGTCCCCGGGCACCCTCCCAGCCAGAATCTCCTTCCTGGTCATGTACACGCCCCACTTGGCCAGGGCCAGGGCCAGGGCCAGGGCCAGGAGGAGGTGGGCCAGGAGATCCCAAAACTCGGTGGGGCCATGGATGGGGTGCCCAAAAATAAAAGGGTGGGGAGTGAAGTTCAGCCAGAACCTCAGGAGGAGGTTCTGGAGGTGGAGGGGCTGCAGCCTAACACACTTGAGTGTCATGTGTGCCAGGGTCTCCCTCTGCCCACAGAAGGGGCAGGAGACTGCAATGTCTGTGAAGCTCATAACATACATGCCCGTGGTGATGGCTCCATGGAGAAGCCACCAGCTGAGGTCCCCAGTGGCTCATGGGATGAGGGTGGAGTATAGGCTCAGCCACTGGGGTGCCCCAGCTACACTCTTGCTGAGCAGGTCTCACCACTTGGTGCCTGGGAGGGACATGAGGGCAGCATGATGGATAATGCGACGCATAAGCATGTAGAGGTGGTGGTGATGGACAGTGGAAAAGCGGTTCAGTGTCCTCCAGCCAGCTCAGGTGGTGAAGCAGGGAGTGCTGTGAGGCCAGGTGAGGCACCAGCCCCACGACAAACTCCAGTGGGCTGGAAGACACAAGGGGGTGGGGACCACCACCACACAAGACCTGGTCAACAAAGGCAAGGGCGTCAGGAGGTAAGGCAGATTTCACCTCCTGGACAAGGCAGAAGGTCGCACGTGTCATGGGTAGATCCATGCACTGGGCTAGCACAGCAGGGTCCAGCCATGCCCACCTATCATAGTCCAGGAGGTCTCTGATATGGGTGACACCACCCAGGATCAAGCTCTGTTGCAACCAGGGCGCCTCTGCTGTCAGTACTTCCAGCTGGGGCCTCCAGAGAAGGGGCTCGACAAGCAGGTCAGTGCCCTGGGCGAGTGTCACAGGGGACATGGAGGTGGAGACCAGACTCCAGGCCCAGAGGAGGTCCTGGTTGAAATCTGGCAGCCTTTGCAGGTCCTTCAGGGAGAAGCCCTGCAAGCCGAGGAGATGCCAGTTGTATCAGTTGTATCAGCGCCCCTGGAAGCGGCGGAGGAAGGCATGCCCGAGTTGGCCCCATGCTGCATGGCTACCAAAACTATAGCAGTTGCTGCAGGGCCTGAAGGAAGAATGTCAGGACCTGGCTATGCAGGCAAACAAGGCCCTGGCCGCCTTTCTGCAACAAGAGGCTCAGGACCTCTGCAGTGACCCAGTGTCATCCTGGCCAGAAAAACTCCAGTGCCTTTCTCTGGAGCCCAGCCAGGATCTCTGGGGGCATAGGCAGGGTGTGTAAGTAATGCCAGAGCATGTACAGGACCAGCTGGTTCAAAACCAGTGCACTCCCCCACAGGGAGAGACAGCTCCACTACCCTTGCCTCCAGCTGATGCCAGTTTTCCAGTGGGAGGGGTTCATGGGGGACAGGTAGAGCCCCAGGTAGAGCAGTGAGCTTGTGCTCTAGCAGAACCCACAGAGTGCAGGTGGGACTGAGCCCAACTGCCAACTTTCACCCATGGATGGATCATGTCCACCATCATGGACTGCAGGTGCAGTGAGGTGGCCTTTGCTGCCACCTTGTAGTCCATGCAGAGGAGGGACATGGGATGCCAGTTCCTCAGGTCCACCCTTATTTGGCAGGAGGGTTAGCACAGCCCTTTGGCATGACAAAGGGAGCTCCCCACTTCCCTTGGATTTGGCCCAGACCGGTGCAAAATCTTGGTCAAGGATGTCCCAGAAGGCCCAGTAAAACTCTGTGGTCAGCCTGTTGATGCCCGGCACCTTGTGGCCAGGCATCAGGTGCAGGGAGGCTGAAAACTCAACCAGGGTGAGAGGAGCCTCCAGCCAGTCTCAGTCACCCATGCTAACCTGAGGGAGTCCCTCCCACAGGGTCTGACAGGCTTTGGTGTCAGTTGGATCCAGGAAGAAGAGCTCTTCATAGAAGGCTCGTGTGTGCTGGCACATCTCACCTGGATCCATGGAGAAGCCATGAAGGGGGTGCCATTGCCTGCCAGATGGCAGGAGATGTACTTCTTGGCCCCACCGCCTCCTCTCCAGGGTGTAGAAGTGGGAGCTGCAGTCCATCTCCCAAAGGAGCTGGAGGCATGAGCAGAAAAATGCACCATGGGCGTGATGGTCATCTGGAGCATGAAGTTCTTCCCGCCTTTCCCGACACTCTCTGCAGTGGGATGGGTTGATTGGGTTGGCAGTCAGGCACCTCTCCAGCGCCAGCACTTCCTGTTTCAGCTGTTCCCAGACCACCTCCCTCTGCCAGGGTCTGCCCCCGAGTGTAGCTGCGGCAAAAAAGCCAGATGCACACCTTCCCCACGTCCCAGCATCTCTGAGCTGAGGGGAAAGCTGCCTGTAGCTCCCACCAGGTCAGCCAGAACTCCTGGAAGGCCTCCCTGAAGTGAACAGCCAACCCTGGACACCTGAGCCCCAGCGTGGCCTGGGCCCAGACAAGGTGGTGATTGCTGAAGGGGGTTGGACAGATGCTGGAGGAGTGGGCCTGGGCAAAGTGTGGCAATGAGATATAAATTCAGTCCAACAGGGAGTGGCATGCCTGCTCCTACCCCACCCTCATGTATGTGAAGGTGGAGGGGAAGGGGTGTCAGGTGCGCCAGATATCTACCAGAGAGTATTTTGTTAGGATTTCCCTAAGGATTCCCACAGCAGCCTGGTTCTGTTCCCTGCCTGACCGATCCCACGTGTCTAGGGTGATGTTAAAGTCCCCACTAAGGACCAGGCACTCACAAGGGTTGAGGGTGCTAATGTAAGTGGCCATCTGTCAGAAAAAGTCAATCAACTCCGGGTCCTTTATAGGAGCATACACATTCAGAAGGTTCAGGACCAGCTCCTGCACTTGGACCTGGAGGTGCAGCAGGCAGCCTGGCACCACCTCAATGTCCTGGAGAACCTCCAGCTGCAGGCCTGGGGAGAACAGGGTGGCCACCGTACAAGAGGTGGCCAAGAGGTGACTAAAAAAGATCCTGCCTCCCCAATCCAGCTGCCAGTTAGGCTCATAAGCCAGAGTTGTCAGAGTCTCCTGTAAGAATACCATGGGGTACACCCCCTCCTGAAGGAAGGACAGCACCCCGCATCTCCAGGGACCCTTCCTGCAGCCATGGGCATTGAAGGTTGCAATCTTAAACAAACTCAGAGGCCTGATGCACCTCAACACCTGCTGTGGGGTTCAGCAGCTCATGCAGTGCCCTCCCATAAGCATAGAGAGTGTCTACGAAACTGTGGACCCCCTTATAGATACGGATGTTGCAGTACTTGGGCCCCTTGCCTTCCCCCACCAGCACCCTTGCCACATCAAGGATGTTGTCAAAATCTCCCCAGTGGTCCAAGGTGAGCTACATTGTGCTGGTGTACTCACGGTTAAGAAAAGCAAGTAGCTTGCCCCTGGGGACCACCGGGACCAAGAGGTCCTCAGGCTCCATGGAGCTCTCCTATTCTCTGGTATCCTTTTCCTGGTTCTGGGGCTCAGTGGGCTCCTTAAGCACTGTCTAAACCCTGCGGCCCACTAAGGCCCCAGACTCTGGCTGGGACAAGGAGAGCTCTGCAGCCCCTTGGGATGGGGGTGGGGGTTGTGGCGAAATCACCCCCCAGTCTGCCTCATTGCTGTAAGCAGGCAGCTCCTCCCCCCATCTGTTTCATTTACCACTGAGCTGTGACCTGGGCTGGAGACATTTCTGAGGGAGAGGGGAGCTCGCTATCCTGTGTCCTGTATAACTCTAAACCCTCACCTGAGGTTGGTGACATTTTTCAAACTGACCAGCCAGCATCAGCCATGGTCTGAGGATACTGGTTTGTGGTGGGAACTTAGTGATGAGGTCATGACAGGGATATATAAGGTCCCATCTTCCTAGAAGGAGGGGAGACATGTTTTGGGGACACAGCCAGCAAGCCATGTTGCTTCTAGAGCAGGCTCAATCAGCCTCTGGACAGAATTGTGAGTAATTTACATGAAATATAGAAGGAATTTAGAATCTAGTGTTTTAGTGGCTTGTCAAAAGGTGACCAAGCCATTTCTGTTTGCTCTTGGATTTTCTTTTGATACTTCTCTGACTTGTACCTATCCCCAAGCCTGCCCTCTCTACCCAAGCAATAAAGCTGTCAGTTATACCAAGTCTTACTGGATCTGTTACAGAGAGTTTGGGCACACTTTTTTGCTCCCTTTTGCTTGGTTGACTAAGGGAGAGTACTTTCTATGTTTCAGGCTAATAGAAGCACACCAAGATCCCAAGATCTATAGGGCCTGTGTATCCTGGGCAGCACAGGGCCCAGAGAAAGACTTGAATCTGGGTGGTGGCAGCAGTACCCCAGGCTTGCAGGTGTGCTTCAGGAAGGGAGTTGGCTAGAAGTTGGTGCCCCCTGGGGAGGCATCCAAAGCCTGGTTTTTGGTGGGGTGCAGTGAGGCAGGTGTCTTGGCTCAGGAGCACCCCCTACTGGCCTGCCACAGGGGTAAGGGTGGGAGTGATACTCCAGAGCTGGAACCCCGGGGGGGTCTGCACGGGGTCCCCAAAAAGATCAGCCTGTCAGTAAGGGGATCCCACCTCAACCCCCCCTGGTGTGGGAC